AAGACGTGCCCGGCATGCTGCCAAAGATTTGCCGACGGCCGCTGGCGATGGTAAGCAAACAGACGATTGAGATTCTGAGCTGCTGGAACGATGCGTTGTCTTGGCACTTACCTTGATGACTGGGTGTTCATCCTTTGAGATGAATCAGACAGCGCCTTCCTGGCGCGGGAAGCAGCAAGGGAGAAATGCGGGAAAGGGCGCACTGAGCGAAGTCCAATCCCAACAGGCTTGTCTTCCGAGCACGAATGTGGGTAAAAGACGCCGGAGAAAAGGATGGAGAGCCGCTTGCTGCTCTAGCCGAGCGTCGACAGACGCTGATGATGATGGTGAAGGACGCACAGTGCAACAAAGAAGAAAGGATGGGTGCAGGTCAAGGTTGTGCCTACCTGAGCGACAGGAGGAGAGCAAGCAGGGGAAAAGAAGGAGAACGAGGATAGGAGCGGGGGGTTATACGGTATGACATGGGGTTTATTTTGGGAGCACACCAAGCCACGCCGGCGGTGTTGAGCGTCCGGTGCTACTCCTCCCCCTCGTCCCCGTCCCTCGAGGTTCTTACTCCCTCTATTCAGCTCACACCTCATGAGTATGAGTGTGGGGCTACCTGCTTCATTCGGTCAGCCATAGAGACATGGCCTACCAGCAACCCTTTGCTGGCTCTCTGCTCGATGTGCCGTTTTGATCGTGGGCCTGTGTACTGTTGCGTGCAACAATGCTCCGTCGTCGAAGGGAAAAGGGCGGCGGAGATTAAACGACCGAACATGAGAGGCTGCGCCTAACTGGATTCCTCTGAGCAAAAGCTGTCAAAACTACTTTGTGTGTGACTCACCACAGCGTTCGATTGCCCGTCCTCTTGCGGACTGACAGGACCCCGACCCTCCCCCGACGACGAGAGGCAAAAACACGAAGCGTGTCACTCCCTCAACGGTGCTGCAGTCCCCTCCTCAACGCTGGGGGACGCCCCCCTCCTCTGTCCCGTCTCTCCCGCGGCCTCCTTTGGTTCCCATGTCCATGACCCCTCCAACCCTTCCCAGGTCGCTGCTCGTGGCCCTTTCTCTCTCTCTCTCTCTCTCTCTCTCTCTCCAGACTCGTGCTCACCTCTCCCCTGTCCTCGTGGCTTCTCCGTTTTCTTCCTGGGTCCTTCCCTTCTCTCGTAACTGTATGCGTCACACACACACACACACACACACACCTGGTAGGTGTCCTGTGAGACATGGAGAAACCGCACAAGAAACAGCATGGCCTCCCCCTCCCCCCGCCGCCCTTCCCTTCTCTTCACTCTTTCGCATAAAGGATCGACCCTTCCTCGTCTCACCCCCTCCTTCTCTCATCCACGCAAGCACGTCACATCATCGCATCTCTCTCTACAAAAAGGAAGGAGCTCTCGCTCTCATCAACTCTCCGCACCTTCCCTCGCTCGATACTCTCTCGCATCAGGAGCACTCGAAAGCTCCCGTACCTCGCTCATCCCGTTCAGCCTTCCCATCGCTCTCGCATCATCCTGAGCTGCCAGAATGACATCCAAGCTCGCAACCCTCATCTCCTTCATCGCCGCCGGTGGTGGTGGTGACTCGTCGTCGTCGGACAGCGGATCCGGAGGCTTCCGCAACCCAGGTCACGACGACAGTCTCGTCAAGTCCATGTGGATCGCAGGTAAGAAGCTGCAGAGCATACCGCTGCGGGACGCCTTGGTATCAGCGTATCTCTCGACTGACACACCCATCCCCTCCTGAACCCTGCCCACAGTGACAAGCTTGATCTTCCTCTGGCTGGCCGCTATGCTGACCCGTCAGGCCGCAGCGTTCGTCGAGCGTCGCAGCAACCAGGAGGTCATCGCCTCCCGAAACGACACCAACACCAGCGAGGACGGAGAGGAACGCGATCCCTTACTTCCTGGAGGTGTTCGCGCAAGGGACGCTTCGGCCAGGGCCAGACAGTGGGGACCTCGCTTGGACAGAGCGGCCGACGCACTCCGTCACGCCGTCTTGGTAAAGAACGAAGAAACAACATGAGCTTTCGGATCATCGTTCCTTCCCATTCAACTTGGCAAACTTTGTTGCTCTAGATGCTTCTGGCGGCGACCATCTTCGCCTCGATCCCTCTGCCCTACACGTGCGTCTCCAACCCCAACCTGCGTCCGGGACTCCCCATCCCTCCGGCACCCACCTGCGAGACCTGCGTGGCCACGGGCGTCACGCTCGCCACGAGCATCCTGGCCTGGGTCTTCCTGGCCCTCTCGGCTCTCTGGTTTGTCATGGAGCTGGTCGTCGTGGACGCCGCGAGCGGTGCCATAGCTAGGACCTGCGTCGGCGTCGCCTGCTTCCCCTTGATCTTGGCCATGTTCGGTATGTCATGAGGAGACAGGGAAGGAATGGTGGGGTTGTTGTATGGAATGTTACTGACCTCTTCGCCCTGTCACCATAGTCATCACGTTCAAGGAGTGGGCCACCATCGAGGCTCGCGACGTTCCCTGCAAGTGAAAGCGCAAGTCCTGCTCCTCGTCTTCCCACTTCCTTTCCTTTGTCGAGCTGTTTGGTTCCCTTCTTTCCTGAGTTGCTTTCCTTTGCGTGTAGCCAGTTCGTTCACATCATTCCCCATCTGTACCCTTTTTCTTTTGCATTGAGAACCAGAAATACCCACCATACGTTCAAAACACCTTTGCCGATGCCCATGCACAGACGCACACGCAAAACGTCCCCGACACTGTATTTCAGAGTAGATTATCCTTCTCAGCAGCGAATGAAACATGCGTTGGACGCACATCCCAGTCCCTTCGAAGAGCTGGGTTTAAAGTAGCAAAAAGTAGTCATCACTTTAGCGGGGGACGTTTGCGCGTGGGCCGGACTCTGTGGTCCTGGGCATGCTGTAGAGACGTACGGCACTCTGGCAACCCCTCGCGCCCTTGAGGCAAGATGAGATGCACGGGCTGGTGAGGTTGGCAGAGTAGTCGTACGTCCAGAGGGTGACGGGAACATTGGAACGTGGGGAATGGGGAACAAGATGCTGCAGACGAGAAAAAAACCTCGAGCTTTTGTACTGCAATGCGGGAGTGGCGCAGCAGGTCGTTCCGTCGGCAGAGGGGTGGTGGTCCTACCATCATCCCGCTCTCTCGGGCAAACATTCCCAGAACGGATCTCCCTCAGGCTGCGAAGCAGCTTGTTTCAAGGACGATAGGAGCAGATGGGACTCAGACTCAGGACGTTCCGATAGTCCTCCCCGTTCTTCCTCCTTGAACCCTCCAGTGATGGTTAAAAGGACCAAGGGAGAAACAACGGTCCACTGGTCTCTTTCCCAGCCTTATCAGCCTTCTCCGCCAACCGAACGATGCTGAATCCTTCCCAGCAGCTCTCTCGTCAATCTCGAGTGAACTACAAAGTCATCGATTAAAGGGTAAGCCACGCTTTCCACTTCCCATTGCCCCAAACGGAGGAAAGAGGGAGAAAAGATGAAGATACAACAAAATCACGATAAACTGAAGCGACACGCCGTCCTACATCCGATCTCGAGGACGTACTTCGGTTGTTCCAATCCAAATTCGATTTCGGGGCGTGGACCATGATCGATCACGAATGTGGAGCCATGTCTGATTTTGTTTCCTTTCCTCCGCTGCGAGGCTGATGGGACAATGGGCGTGAGAAGATTGTGGTCTGACCGTTCTTGCTTTCTCCAGATTTCTGGACACGTAAGATCTATCGTTGCCGTGGACGAAGGAGCACGGACGTCGGCGATGCTTCTGCTTGCTAAGGTGCGCCTCCGTCTTGCTTTCATCCAGAAGTATTACCTACGCGCTACGCGCTTCGCATGCATACTCGGCCTTTTGGAGCAAACCTACGAATGGTTTGCTCTCTGAGACATGTCGATCTCACCGACTGCAACGGCGTGCTTGCGCGGTATAGGAAATGCGAGTCTTCGTCGCGGAGCCGGAAACCTGGTCAGGCATGCTCCCGTGCGGAAGCTTTTCTCCTTGGAAAGCAGGTATCCCAAGTAGCGTATTCCGGAGACTTTGTGGGGTAAGGCTCGTTGTTTTCTTGAATGGGTTAAACGGGAGAGCGATAGTAAGGTACACAGGTAGCCTTTTCGGTCCAACGGGCGTGCAGGTCCTGCCGCCCTTCGATGTTGCACCACGGAAGGTTACGGAAGACAACGACGTGTGATCTGTTCAGGACATGCAAAGCTCTGTTCACTCATCTGCCTGTTTTGCTAAACCATGATCGGGAACAGCCCGTGTCGACCCGAAAGCGCAGGCCCCTCCCTCCCTTTCTTTTGCCCAGCGCCGACTAACTTAATGCAGCATGCATTGTGAGAGTGCGCAAAAGTCAGCCGTGCGAACCTATCGATGCAAAAGCAAAAAGGAAACGGCTCGGCCGAGATTCGGCTTTCGATAGCTTTTCAAGCGTCATGAACTTCTGAACGACCGCACATCCCTTGGCATTCCAACCTGCGTGACCTTCCAACAGGCTCACAGCGAACCTCCCCGCCGCGTGGGGAGACGTCAAGAAGGTGAGGAGGACTCCCGATGGAGATAAAACCAGCAAGTAGCAGATAAATTAGCCTTGATTTCCCAATGTGAGCTGGTGACCTTGCACAGTACACCTCGTCCCCTCGACGAGAGTCACTCACAAGCAGCCCCGGCGCAGGGAGGGACGTCTAAGGGACATGAATCAACATGGTGATGAGCTAAAAAAAAGGCTCGAAAAGTGAATCAGCTGAGATTCTCGTTGCACAGTACATTTGCTCAGTAAACCTGACCAGCGTACCCTTTCAACAAGGATCGCTCCCAAGCATCCCCGCCGCAGGGTTGGACGTCTAAAGAACATACCGACGTGAGGATGTGTTAAAGAAAGAGCCCCAGAAAGTGAATCAGCCAAGATTCTCGGTGCACAGGACATTTGCTCAGTACAACCCGTACCCTTTCAACCAGGATCGCTCCCAAGCATCCCCGCGGGAGGGACGTCAAAAGGACATACCGACATAAGGATGGTCTAAAAAGGAATTCCAAAATGTGAATCAGCCGAGATTCGAACTCGGGACACTCGCTATCACCTGGTGATCCATGGAAGGCGAGTATATTAACCACTATACTACTGATTCATGCAAGAAAGGTGATTCTGTGTGCCTATAAGCAGACGCGCTTCTTCCATGAGCGCCAATCCAGACGTCGTTTACCTGAGCAGTAGAGCGCGGCACGGATTGATGCAAATGACGAAGAAAACGGGAGACGTAAAGGAAGCGTTGCGAGCGACAGATCGTCGATGCCAGCCTCGCTCAGTGGCACTTCAGGAAACCATGGGAGTGCTGTCGGTTTCGACTGCTCGGCGACGTATACTTAGAATGCTTGAAATGTGCCAGCCTAAAACTACGGGCAATTTACCTCGAGCTGGTGGTCTACGTTTCCGAGCCCGCTGGCCGCCGATGGGTAGCCTTTAAAGTTGTCGATGCGGGTGCGGACCGTAGTAGCTAAAGATGAATCCGCCGGAAGGGTATCGTGAGATTTGTCCAGCATATCAGAAAAGGAGTTCACATCTGAGGCGGAAACAACAATCCCGAGATCAAGGTCAGAAACAGACGGCTCCTTTGGCGATGAGGTGTAAGTTCGCTTACAGTCGATGCGGGGCTGTCTGACCGATTCCAACGTCTTTGTCAACAAGTTTCCGGCGTACGTTTGCATTTTACGCAGTTGTCTGTTTCTGTACGACCAAAACCAGGTTTCTACATCAGTAGGACGGCGACAACCAGCGGGGCCAATATCGGGATTATTTACCCAAACAAAACTCCCTTCATGTTGTTAACGTCGGCATCTTCGGAAACGGTGTTCTCCCTGCCGTTCATCATGTCGAACGCACGCTCATTCTATTTGCCCTCCTTCCATTTGGTGCACAAAAGCTTAAAGAAGATGATATCAATATGAGCCCTGAAGAGCTGGGAACCAATCGATGAATTGGCCAAACGTATCTCCTGATCTGCCACCGAGAGTGCCGCAAACGTTGGCGAATAGAGCGAGTCAAGATGTTCCTGAAGCTATACAAACACAACGGGATTTTTCGTGTCAGACAACCGACCCTCCGAGAAGCAAAGTCTCGGCAATCGAGTTTACCTCCAGCATGTGGTCACACTGCAACGCATCGGAAGCAGCGCACTGAGTGTAGGGAACAGGGCTAGAAGGTATGCTGCCGGTTCCGGCAGCGTTGTTGACGATGCACCAGACCAATCCTCCTGCGTCGCCGTTGGACGTGCAAACCGCTCTGAGGTTCGTAGAGTCCAGACGAAGTTCTTTGGTATTTTGGGCGTCCCACAGGCAGTCCGAGCGACCGGGGGCCGCAAGATGGCCGTGGCGAGCGGAGACGGCGGCGTTCGAGATAGTGCGGTTCTGCACGGCACTGGAGGTGGTGGCAGGGAGCTGGAACGGGTTGGCGATGGAGTCGCGCACGCGCAGGGCGGGTGACCCGCCCCCGGCCACGCCCAGGCCAAAGTTGAGTCCCCGCATGCCAAACTGGCAGAGTAGGCGGTTGTTCACTGACGTTGCGGCTCCCTCGGCGGCTGAGAGCTCCTTTTGTCCAGCGCCCTTGGTGAGATCGGCGGCCTCCTCGGGCAAGGCGTCGGCCAATTGTTGGGCGTCAGCAGCCGCATCGGCGGCTTCAGGTCCAAAATCGGTCGGCGCTTTTAAGAAGTCGCGAGCTTGCGTTGCAAGTCTATGGGTGGCTGCAATAAGCTCGGGCACTGATAAACGGCCGGGTTAATGATGAAACGGCTCGTTGTAAGCGATGGCGGTAAATCTGACACTCACAAGCTTCAATAGCTGCATCCCAAAAATGCGTGGTGGGCAGGATGGGTGCTACGCGTACCAAGTAAAGCACATGTACCATAGTGATAACTGTGAGGTCTGCGTGGGCGTGCGAGCAAGTTGGGCCTGCGCTGCGTCCAGCCCAGCGAACATTCGGTTGAAAAAGTCAACGAAATCCTGCGATTCGGAGATTCAGTGCCTATGGTAATGTGGAAGCCGGGCGTATATCGCCTCTAAACTCACCGCTTCAAATCGCCGTGCCATTCGTGTAGCGATGCTGTCTCCCGGACTCTGCGGCTGGGAGTCAATAGGATTCAAAAGATCTCCGCGGCTCATGATATTCATGGCGGAGTCTGAAAGCCGCGCGTCAGTTTTGTAGCACCCCAGGCGTTGGCGCAGCGATACCAGTACTCACACCCGGAGCTTCCGTCAATCAACGACGACAACGGTGTAGTGACAATCTCCGCTAGTGGGAAAGAGCTAGAAATGTCGATCCAGATAGACACGCGCGCATCGCATTCCATCCAGGAGACCTGCCCTCCAGCAGCGCCGAAGCAAATACTCTGACCCACGAGACCTCCAACGCCAGGATGGATCGTGTACCGATTGGGGCCGTCCGCTCGTCGGGAGAAGAGAATAAGTGTTCTCTACGGGTACATCATCTCCTACATCTCCGCAGTACTGGAACGACGCGCCGGCGCCGACACACATTTATGGAATGTCCATGAAAGTGATTGAGTCCATGTTGTCTGTTTAGCGGAAAAATGTTGGTCAGCAAACGGAATTCACATTGCTAGGGATTGAACGGAAAACGCACTCTGATTGAGATTCAACAATATATCCTGAGTGGACGTAGCGGCGGTCGAGCAGGGAGACAGGACGATGGGGATCCCCGCTTCACCGTGATTGATGCAGGTGTTTGTGCCAGAGAGTTGCATCCGAGCCTACGTCGCTAATTTCAACCGTAGGCACGGGGTGGAAGATGGTGACCCCTCCAGCCACCGACGTGCTGCTTCCGACCGGGGGTGACGTTGTAAACCCGTAGGTGAGGATTTGGCAGTTGGCCGTCGTTGAGGGCGTGGTGATGTACTCCAAAGGGCGCTCGCCCTCCATAAACATGTAATTGCCGATCCTGAAAGCAAAGAAGTCGCAGTGATGTTCTTTGAAGCTCCACCCGACATCGTCTGCATGAAGTCACTTAAGTCAGGCGTTAAAACGCAGAAAAAGGCGAAATTTGCACATACCAATGCGGACACATCCATTGTGGGTGTACGCCGTGTCGTCCGTCCTTTAACGGTCATTCCATCGATTTCTTTGATGTAAAAAATGGCACCGGTGGGGAGGTCATTCGAAGCTGCACGGCACGAAAATTGCGGCAAGCAGCTGGGTTACGCGGAATGCTCATTTTTTTGCACTCACCGATGCTGATGTACGGTATAAGCTGATTCGACGGCTGTCCATTGACCGGTGTCCCAAAGCCATAAGGGTACTGAGGTGCAAACGTCCGGAGAAAAAGGGAGATGTTAGCAGCTCAAATGGCGGAAGAGGCAAGTCGCCCATGCCACAAGACAGTAATTTACATGAGCCGTGTCTGCAATGAACGTGAAGCAGTCAAAATCGCCGCTTTGCGTGCCGGCTGTGTTGCAGGTCTTCATGCAGTTGTCGTCGCCGAGGTTAATCATGCGCCCGTCGTTAAGAATGACTGTTCCTTCCATGCGTGCGGCAATGGCAAAGTCGCGGTTCACGGTCGCGATAAGCTGTTTATCACAGGTTCGGATGTCGACACCCTGGGTGTTCGGGTGCTCGGACTGGAAGGCAAGCCAGTGGTGAAAGCCGAATAACCGGCCGGAACGTATTCGGCTTTGCAGGTGAGTTGACAAGTCTGATCTATGTTGCAACACGAGTTGTCACCCGGGCAGTCGTCTGCGCTGGCGCAGTTGGCACCGATCGCGCCGCCGCGACATTTGCGGCTGGCATCGCCGGGGTCGAGAGAGCAATTCATTTCGCCGTCGCAGTCGTCCGTACTTGTGCGAGCGGCACCGAGCTGGAGGCCGCCGGGGCACTGGGTCGATATGACGCAGGTTTTGAGGAAAGGGTGGCAGCATTCCTCGCCGTTACACGAGTCATCGTTCTGACAAACATCGCCGAGATCGGAACAAGTGGTCTGACAGGTCTTGTTGTGGTCGCAGCACATTTCGCCAGAGCACGAATCGTTGCTGGTGCATGCGGCAAGGGTCTCCGGTATTTCCAGCACCCGAGCCATCATCGCAAGAGGCGACGCAAGTGAGCGCGGGCGAGAATCATAGGTCGCCCGAGCAATCATCGCCGGTTTTGCAGCGACCATCGACGGGCGACCCGTCGTCACTAGCAGCGGCGATGAGTATAAAGTTTTGGGCGTTCGCGTGGGTCTTGGTCTTTATGGCGCCGTGGGTGGCCAGCTTGTGGGGACCAAGATGCGCCTATCATACGCAGGGCTTTGGCTCGCGCCTTGGCTTTCTTAGCGCCTAGCTTGCGTTGGTCTTTGGTGCCGTGCGGGAGCGTGCGGGCTGGGCGCTGGCCGCGGATACCATGCTTGCAGGGGCTAAAGTAGTGTGATTAAGGGTATTCTCTCCTTTCCGGTCGGGCACTGTATGTCCTCTAAGCGACTATTACTACGCATCTACAGGGATACCCGTAGTTAGGGAGAACATGAACGCAGAAGGACTCTACATTGGTGCTGCATCGAGCTGCTATCGGATACTGTATGACCTCTAAACGACTACAACTACGCATCTACTCGTATCTCCCGAGGCTCGTTCTCTGCTGGAGGCAGTATGACGATCTCGCCGCACTCGAGGCCGAGACCCACCAGCGTGTCGAAGATCAGTCCCACGAACCCAGCCGGTCCGCAGACAACGACCTTGCGAACGGCGTCACTGTCGGAATCCCAAGCGTCCGTGACAAGGTCCTCCACGTCCTCAGGTGTCAGACGACCGTCGTGGAACGTGCCGGGTACCCCGTGCACGACACATTTCGGACCTGCTCCGGCCGAGACGTGGTGGTGGATCTGCAGCTGATTCGGGAACGACAACGCGCCAGCGTCGAGGATATTGAAAGCGGCGCAGTCGTCGAGGGTGGAGGCGCAATTGACGATCACGACGCGGGAGTCGCGACCCGCCGGCGGATGGAGGATGGACAGCGGACAGAGACCTTCTTCGTCCGTCTCGAGGTTAGCGGCGATGGCCCAGCCGTCCAATCCGACCGACTTGACCTTGATGCGGTCCCCTACTTCGATCGGTAGCTCGTCGTCGTGGGCCGGCTCATACCCGCT